ATCACTAGGTTCTTGTGGGTTTTTTCGGGCTATAGAGCCATTCCAAAGCCTTGTTTCTCATTCATCTATCTCTTTCCCACATCAACATGTCCAAAATATATTGAGATGACAAGGAAGCAAAAAAAAGAGACCTAACTATCCTGCCTTTAGCCTGGAATGTGGTCTCTTTCCTCAAGATGGGGACTCTCTTCGTCTACCTAAGGACCCTCTCCTCCACTGCTATTCCTTAAGACAGTGTTTCTCAACCTGGGGGTCGGGACCACTGGGGGGGTTGCAAAGGGGTGTCAGAGGGGTCGCCAAAGACCATCAGAAAACACAGTATTTTCTGTTGGTCATGGGTTCTGTGTGGGAACTTTGGCCCAATTCTATCATTGGTGGGGTTCAGAACGCTCCTTGATTGTAGGTGAACTATAAATCCCAGCAAGTACAACTCCCAAATGTCAAAGTCTATTTTCCCCAAACCCCATCAGTTTTCACATTTGGGCATATTGAGTATCTGTGCCAAGTTTGGTCCAGATCCATCATTGTTTGAGCCCACAGTGCTCTCTGCATGTAGGCGAACTACAACTCGCAAACTCAAGCTCAATGGGTTGTTGTAGGTTTTTCCGAGCTATATGGGTATGTTCTAGAGGCATTTTCTCCTGACGTTTCACCTGCATCTATGGCAAGCATCCTCAGAGGTACTGAGGTCTATTGGAAGTAGGAAAATGGGTTTATATATCTGTGGAATGACCAGGGTGGGACAAAGGACTTTTGTCTGCTGGTGCTAGGTGTGAATGTTTCAACTGACCACCTTGGTTAGCATTTAATGGCTTGGAAGTGCCTGGGGGGAATCTTTTGTTGAGAGCGATTTGATGTGCCTGACTGTTTCCTCTCTGTTGTCAAGCTCAATGGCGACCAACACCTTCCAGTATTTTCTGTTTGTCATAGGAGTTCTGTGTGCCAACTTTGGTTCCATTGTTGGTGAGGTTCAGAATGCTCTTTGTTTACAGGTTAACTGTAAATCCCAGTAACTACAACTCCCAAATGACAAAATCAATCCCCCCCGCCAACCCCACCAGTATTCAAATTTGGGCATACCAGGTATTTGTGCCAAATTTGCTCCAGTGAATGAAAGTACATCCTGCAGATCATTATTTACATGGCGAATCATAATGTTAGGGTTATGGTTGGGGGTCACCACAACATGAGGAACTGTATTAAGGGGTTGTGGCATTAGGAAGATCGAGAACCACTGCCTTAAGAGACACTTGACCTCGAACCCAACCTTCCCAAACCTCTTCCCCCCAAAACAGGGAGTCAAAATGAAAAGGAGCCTTAAAGAAATCCATGATCTCTTCCTCTTAATATGGAGCCTTTGAAGCCTTGTAAGATATTGTTTTACCTGAGGAACACCCCCACCATCAAAGCTACTATTCAAGGGACCCTTGATATCCAGACTCCAGAGCACCACCCCCCCCCCATCAAGGTTTCTCTCTTTTCCTCTGAAGCCTTGTTTGCCATTGCTTTACCTATAGAGCCCTCCTCAAGGGACCCTTGAACCCACCTTCCCAAAACCCTCCCCAAAAAGGGCCTTGTCATGAAGGGGCGCAGCTGGCTGAGTGTCACCTGCATTAAGATCACTCTGACCAAAAGGTCATGAGTTCGAAGCCAGCCCGAATTGGAGTGGGTTTCCAACCAATTGTGTAGCCTGTTGTCGACCTTTGCAACCCGAAAAACAGTTGCATCTGTCAAGTAGGAAAATTAGGTACCACCTTAAAAGTGTGGGGAGGCTAAATTAACTAATTTATGAGGCCATGAAAAAGACTCCAGCAAAGCATTCCAGCGGGGAAGCATGCGGGGAATGCGGAAGTGCTTCATCAGCGTCACAGATGGACGATGAAAGCAACAGCTCCCCGGCGGCCAGAAAAAAGTTAAATAGCCTCTGTGTATGTCTGTATATGATGAATGTCAAAAATTAGGTACCACCTTAAAAGTGTGGGGAGGCTAAATTAACTAATTTATGAGGCCATGAAAAAGACTCCAGCAAAGCATTCCAGCGGGGAAGCATGCGGGGAATGCGGAAGTGCTTCATCAGTGTCGCAGATGGACGATGAAAGCAACAGCTCCCCGGCAGCCAGAAAAAAGTTAAATAGCCTCTGTGTATGTCTGTATATGTTGTATGTCAAAATTGGCATTGAATGTTTGCCATATATTTGTACACTGTAATCCGCCCTGAGTCCCCTGCGGGGTGAGAAGGGCGGAATATAAATGCTGTAAGTAAATAAATAAATAAATCACAGCCCCCCCAGCCCCAAATTGAGCTCTGGAGCCTTTGTATTTATTTACCTCCTTTCCCTGCATCAAACCCCACCACCACCAATAAAAGGTAGTGCAAGAAAAGAGGAAATGATAAAAACGCCATCCAATCACCCATCCAGTCCTTGGCCTAAACTCGGCCTGCACAACCTATGGTGTTTTGGTCTCCAACTCCCAGAAGCCCCTATTGCTAACTTGTTCAATAGTCAGGATTTCTGGGAGCTGAAACACCTGGAGGGACACAGGCTGTGCTGACCTGGCCTAAAACAGTCTCCCTCCTCACAGAAACCTTGATTCTCCTTCTCTACCTCTCACACATTATTATTTTCTTAAGTGGAGACTTAGATGAAGGGTTAGAAGGCAGGATCATCAAGTTTGCAGACAACACCAAATAGGGAGGGAGAGCCAATACTCCAGAGGACAGGAGCAGACTTCAAAACGATCTCGACAGATTAGAGAGATGATTGGCCAAAACTAACAAATGAAGTTCAACAGGGACAAATGCAAGATACTCCACTTAGGCAGAAAAAACGAAATGCAAAGATACAGAATGGGGACGCCTGGCTTGAGAGCAGTACGTGTGAAAAAGATCTTGGAGTCCTCGTGGACAACAAGTTAAACATGAGCCAACAACGTGATGTGGCGGCAAAAAAAGCCAATGGGATTTTGGCCTGCATCAATAGGAGCATAGTGTCTAGATCTAAGGAAGTAATGCTACCCCTCTATTCTGCTTCGGTTAGACCACACCTGGAATATTACATTTAATATTACATTTATATTACATGTAATATTACTAATAATATTACAGTATAATTGATATAGTACAATATAGCAATACTTAAAACTGATATTGTACTATGCTAATAATATATTGTATGTATATATACCTTGTAAGCCGTTCTGAGTCCCCTTCGGGTTGAGAAGGGCGGCATATAAATGTCGCAAATAAATAAATAAATAAATAATATTGTGTCCAATTCTGGGCACCACAATTCAAGAGAGATATTGACAAGCTGGAATGTGTCCAGAGGAGGGCGACTAAAATGATCAAGGGTCTGGAGAACAAACCCTATGAGGAGCGGCTTAAGGAGCTGGGCATGTTTAGCCTGAAGAAGAGAAGGCTGAGAGGAGATATGATAGCCATGTATAAATATGTGAGAGGAAGCCACAGGGAGGAGGGAGCAAGCTTGTTTCCTTGGAGACTAGGACGCATGGAACAATGGCTTCAAACTACAAGAGAGGAGATTCCATCTGAACATGAGGAAGAACTTCCCGACTGTGAGAGCCGTTCAGCAGTGGAACTCTCTGCCCCGGAGTGTGGTGGAGGCTCCTTCTTTGGAAGCTTTTAAACAGAGGCTAGATGGCCATCTGTCAGGGGTGATTTGAATGCAATATTCCTGCTTCTTGGCAGAATGGGGTTGAACTGGATGGCCCTGAGGTCTCTTCCAACTCTTTGATTCTATGATTCTAAGCAGAGACTGGATGGCCATCTTTTGGTGGTGCCTTGAATGCAGTTTTCCTCCTTCTTAAGGCAGAGGGTTGGACTGGATGGTCCATGAAGTCTCTTCTGATTCTAGGATTCTATGAAAAGCCCAATCAAAATACCCCTGACAGATGGCCATCTAGCCTCTATTTAAAAGTTTCAAAGGAAGAAGCTTCCACCAGACTCTTGAGGCAGAGAGTTCCCCTATTCAACAGCTTGTAGTGCCAGGAAGTTCTACCTAATTTGCAGGTGGGATCTCCTTTCTTGTCATTTGAACCCATTGTTCTAGTCCTGGCTTCAAGGGCAGCAGAAAACAAGCCTGCTCCCTCTTTCTTCCTCATGTTCAGATGGAATCTCCTCTCTTGTAGTTTGAAGCCATTGTTCCACGTCCTAGTCTCCAGGGAAGCAGAAAACAAGCTTGCTCCCTCCTCCCTATCACTTCCTCTCCCATATTTCTACATGGCTATCATATCTCCTCTCAGCCTTCTCTTCTTCAGGCTAAACATGCCCAGCTCCTTAAGCCGCTCCTCATAGGGCTTGTTCTCCAGACCTTTTATCATTTTAGTCGCTCTCCTCTGGACACATTCCAGCTTGTCAGTATCTCTCTTGAATTGTGGTGCCCAGAATTGGACACAATATTCTAGGTGTGGTCTAACCAATGCAGAATAGAGGAGTAGCATTACTTCCCTAGATCTAGACACTATGATTAAAAGCCTCCACCACACTACGGAGCAGAGTTCCACTGCGGAACAGCTGCCACAGTCACAAAGTTCTTCCTCATATTCCTCAACATTCCTGCTTCTTGGCAGAATGGGGTTGGACTGGATGGCCCATGAGGTCTGTCCCAACTCTTTGATTCTATGATTCTCTTATATAAAGGGAGGTGATGGGAAAAGACCACAAAAAAAGGATATTCTCAATACGCGAGAGGCGCCTAAGAGAGAACTAGGCCTTGGCTTTGACATCTCGCGAGATCTTACTGAGGGGCCGAGTCTCGCGAGAGGGCGGCGCCGCGTGGAGGCCGCGAGCGGCTTCTCCTCCCTCCTCCTCCCTCCATCTCAGCCTCCCTCTCTCTCTCTCTTTCGCTCTCCATACAAAAGCAAAATGTCCGCCGCCATCTTCGAAAAAAACCACCAGCACGGCGGCTGACATCTTGTACGGAAGCCAAGCCCAGATGGAGGCTCGAGGCCTAGCCGCCTCCCCGCTCTCCAAGACTTACCTTGATGCAAAAGGGCGCCTCGTCGAAGGTGACCAGCATGTACCTGTCGCCGCGGCTGGCCGGGTCCCGCGCCCTCAGCTGCGGAGAGAGAGGGAGAGAAGGGGAGAGGCGGAAGAGAGCGGCGTTTAATGGGAGGGAAACACAGGCACGGAGGATGTATATGTATGTATGTATAGACGTGTGGGAGTGTGGGCAGCGCCTAGGCCCCACCTTCATGAAGAGCTCGACGGCGCCCTTGGCGATATCCAGGTAGCTGGTGCCCAGGTAGGCGCGCTGGTTCATGGAGGCCGACGTATCTATGAGGAAGAGGAGGATCGGCATGGTCCGGCCCGGGCCCAAGGGGAGCCTCGCCTGCCTCGCCAACCCGCAGGGCCCGCCTCGCTGCCCGCTGCCCACCGCCCGCTCCCTCCCGCCGCCGCGCTCGCACTGAGAGGCGCCCGCACTCGGCTTCCTCTCCAGTGCAGCCCAGGCCACGCCTTCTCCTTCCGCCGCACGCCATTGGCTGGAGGTTGGGCCGCGATTTGCATAAGGGGAAGGGGAAAAAGCGAAGGGGCGGGGCTGGCCTTCGAAGGGCGGTTGATTGACAAGCAGAGACTGTCTCCTCCTCCTTCTTCGGGAAGCGGGAAGGGCGCCAACCTATTGGTTGAAGACTGTGCCGCGATTTGCATAAGAAGGAGGGGGAAGCAAAGGGGCGGAGCTATGTGGCTCTGGCTGGGCTTCTAAAGGGGATTGATTGACAAGCCGAGATTGTCTCCTCCTCCTTCTTCTTCGGAAAGTGGGAAACGCGCCCACCCATTGGCTGGCGATTTGCATAAGAGGGGGGGAAGCAAAGGGGCGGAGCTACATAAGAGGTTCCCCCCTCTTAGCAAAGGGGCGGAGCTATTTGGCTCTGGCTGGCCTTCTAAGGGGGATTGATTGACAAGCCGAGATTGTCTCCTCCTCCTTCTCCGGAAAGTGGGAAACGAGCCAACCTATTGGTTGGAGACTGTGCCGCGATTTGCATAAGAGGGGGAGAAAGCAAAGGGGCGGAGCTATGTGGCTCTGGCTGGCCTTCTAAGCGGGATTGATTGACAAGCCGGGGTGGTCTCCTCCTCCTTCTTCGGAAAGTGGGAAACGCGCCAACCTATTGGTTGGAGACTGTGCCGCGATTTGCATAAGAGGGGGAGAAAGCAAAGGGGTGGAGCGATGTGGGTCCCCCCTCTTAGCAAAGGGGCGGAGCTATTTGGCTCTGGTTGGCCTTCTAAGGGAGGTTGATTGACAAGCCGAGACTGTGTCCTCCTCCTTTTTCGGAAAGCGGGAAGGGCGCCAACCTATTGGTTGGCGACTGTGCCGTGATTTGCATAGAGGAGAAAAAAAAGCAAAGGGGCGGAGCGATGTGGCTCTGGCTGGCCTTCTAAAAGGGTATTGATTGACAAGCCGAGATTCTCTCCTCCTCCTCCTTCTCCGGAAAGTGGGAAACGAGCCAACCTATTGGTTGGGGATTGTGCCGCGATTTGCATAAGAGGGGGAGAAAGCAAAGGGGCGGAGCTATGTGGCTCTGGCTGGCCTTCTAAGCGGGATTGATTGACAAGCCGGGGTGGTCTCCTCCTCCTTCTTCGGAAAGTGGGAAACGCGCCAACCTATTGGTTGGAGACTGTGCCGCGATTTGCATAAGAGGGGGAGAAAGCAAAGGGGTGGAGCGATGTGGCTCTGGCTGGCCTTCTAAAAGAGGATTGATTGACAAGCCCAGGATGTCTCCTCCTCCTTCTCTGGGAAGTGGGAAACGCGTCGTCCCATTGGCTGGCGATTGTGCCTCGATTTGCATAAAGGAGGGGAAAAAAAGCAAAAGGGTGGAGCGATGTGGCTCTGGCTAGCCTTGATTGACAAGCCGAGGATGTCTTCTCTCCTCCTCTTTCTCTGTCAAGAGGAAAACGCGCCAACCCATTGGCCGACGGTTGTGCCGGGATTTGCATATATATACAAAAAGGTGGGAGGGAAAAAGAAAGGGGCGGGGAGATGTGCTGAAGGTGATAAACAAGCTTCTCCTCCTTCTCCGGACAGCGAAGCACGTGACGCACTTCCTCGAGGCCGTCCGCCATTGGCTGACGATGGTGCCGCGATTTCCATAAATTAAAAAAAGGGAAAGGAAAGGGGCGGTAGCCTTCTGAGGGTGATTGACAGCCGCGGATGTCTCCTCCTCCATCCCCAAGTGCCATTCCCCCCGAGGCCGCTAGGGGCGCCAAAGAGGAACGAGTTCAATCCTGGTTTAATATTTCAACTGGATTGGATGAGTCTACACTGCCATGGGGACCCTCTTTTGGAAGCATTTAAACAGAGGCTGGATGGCCATCTGTCAGGGGTGATTTGAATGCAATATTCCTGCTTCTTGGCAGGGGGTTGGACTGGATGGTCCATGAGGTCTATTCCAACTCTTTGATTCTATGACCCGGCGCTGCCCGAATTATTAGAGAAAGTGGGTAATGGAGGTTCTGTATGCCAAGTTTGGTCTTTATTGGTCACTGGATGACAGTTGCATTGTTTTCAGGTAGTGAGTGAAGGTACTTGAAGTCCTATCATCCATGGTCCACCCTCCTCCAAACTGCAGCAGGATATAGAGTCGGTCATGGGGGCTCTGTGTGCCAAGTTTGGTCTTGATCAGTCATTGATGAGGGTCGCAGTGGTTTCAGTAAGTGAGTAAAGGTACTGTAAGTCCCATCATCCATGGTCCATCCTCTTAGAACTGTATCAGGATGTAGAGTGGGTCATGAGCACTCTGTGTGCCAAGTTTGGATCTGGACTGTGATTTGTAGGCGCTACAGTGTTCTGTGGGAAGTGAATTGGGTGAAGGTACTGCAAATCCCATCATTCGTGGCCCATCCTGCCCTAAACTGCACCAGGTTGCAAAGTGGGCCATTGGGCCTCTGTGTGCCAAGTTTGGTCCTGATCTGTCCTTAGTGTGGGCCACAGTGCTCTAAGGAAGTGAGTTAAAGTACTGCAAGTCCCGTCATCCATGGTCCATCCTCCCTCAAACTGCACCAGGTAGTTGAGTGGGTCTTGCGAGGGGGGGGTCTGTGTGCCAGGTTTGGTCTTGTTCTGTCATTGTTGGGGGCCACAAAGTGTTTTGGACTTCAACTCCAACCATTCCTGACAGCCTCAGGCCCCTTTCCTTTTCCCTCTGCTAGCTTGGAATGTTCTGGTGGCCAATCAGAGACCACATGCAAATAGTACCACAGTGGCAGCCAATCAGAACGCTGCCATATACACTTCCCGTCCTTCCTCCGCATACAAACACTGACTTTTATTATATACATAGATTCTAAAGCCTTTGACTGTGTGGATCATAATAAACTGTGGCAAGTTCTAGGTGGTATGGGCATACTAAATCACCTCATCTCTCTCCTGATGAATCTGTATAAGGACCAAGAAGCAACAGTAAGAACTGACCATGGAACAACAGACTGGTTCAAGATTGGGAAAGGCGTATGGCAGGGTTGTCTACTCTCACCCAACCTATTCAACTTGTATGCAGAACACATAATGTGATGTGCAGGGCTTGAAAAATGCAAGGCTGGGGTGAAAATTGTTGGAAGAAACATTAACAACCTTAGATATGCAGATGATACCACTTTGATGGCCGAAAGCGAGGAGGAGCTTAGGAGCCTTCTAACCAAGGTGAAAGAAGAAAGCACAAAAGCTGGGTTGCAGCTAAACATCACAAAAAATCAAGATTATGGCAACAAGAATGATTGATAATTGGGAAATAGAGGGAGAAAACGTGGAGGCCGTGACATACTTTGTATTTCTAGGTGCAAAGATTACTGCAGACACAGACTGCAGCCAGGAAATCAGGAGACGCTTCCTTCTTGGGAGGAGAGCAATGACCAATCTCGAGAAAATAGTGAAGAGCAGAGAGATCACACTGGCAACCAAGATCCGCCTAGTCAAAGCCATGGTCTTCCCTGTAGTCACCTACGGATGTGAGAGCTGGACCTTAGGGAAGGCTGAGCGAAGGAAGATCGATGCTTTTGAGCTGTGGTGTTGGAGGAAAGTGCTGAGAGTGCCTTGGACTGCGAGAAGATCCAACCAGTCCATATGTCAAGAAATAAAGCCTGACTGCTCATTGGAGGGAAGAATAGTAGAGGCAAAGATGGAGTACTTTGGCCACATCATGAGAAGAAAGGAAAGCTTAGAGAAGACAATGATGCTGGGGAAAATGGAAGGAAAAAGGAAGAGGGTCCAACCAAGGGGAAAATGGATGGATGGTATCCTTGAAGTGACTGGATTGACCTTGAAGGAGCTGGGGGTGGTGACGGCCGACAGGGAGCTCTGGCGTGGACTGGTCCATGAAGTCACGAAGAGTCGTAAATGACTGAATGCATGAACAACAACAACAAAGTTCCCATTGAGTGGGATTTTTCAGTAGCTTGAGATTAAAGAGGAATGCTGATTCGAAAAGCGTGGTTCGTTTTCATCATGTCAACATGGATGTATCAAAAACAAGTCATGCCAGACTAATCTGATCTCTTTTTTCGGTAGCGTTACAAGCTGTGTAGATGCGGGGAGCACCATGGATGAAGCGTATCTGGATTTCAGGAAGGCCTTCCTTCAACAAGGTCCCTCATGCCCATCTGGCATGGAAACTACTCCAGTGTGGACTAGGCAAAACTACAATTAGATGGATCTGTAATTAGTTATGTGAACGAACCCAGAGGGCAATTCTCCTCCATCTTCCTCTTCATCCTGGAAAGAAGTGAGGAGTGGCGTGCCATAGTTCTGTCCTGGTTCCAGTCCTAATCAGCATCTTGATTAATGACTTAGATGAATGGTTAGAAGGCTGGATCATCACACTTGCGGACAACACCAAATTGGGAGGAAGAATCATAGAATCCTAGAGTTGGAAGAGACCTCATGGGCCATCCAGTCCAACCCCCTGCCAAGAAGCAGGAATATTGCCTTCAAAGCACCCTTGACAGATGGCCATCCAGCCTCTGTTTAAAAGCTTCCAAAGAAGGAGCCTCCAGCACACTCCAGGGCAGAGAGTTCCACTGCTGAACGACTCTCACAGTCAGGAAGTCCTTCCTCATGTTCAGATGGAATCTCCTCTCTTGTAGTTTGAAGCCATTGTTCCATTGCGTCCTAGTCTCCAGGGAAGCAGAAAACAAGCTTGCTCCCTCCTCCCTGTGACTTCCTCTCACATATTTATACATGGCTATCTTATCTCCTCTCAGCCTTCTTCAGGCTAAACTTTCCCAGCTCTTTAAGCCGCTCCTCATAGGGCTTGTTCTCCAGGTAGCAGAAATGATCGACATTTTCTAATGTTACACCATTAAGCTGTATCTCTGGCATTGGAGAGGGATTGGCTAGTGACTGTTGGAAGAGCACTTTGGCTGTGACCGTGACATCTGCACGCTTTGTTGCAATATTAAACGCCTTGGTCCATCCCAATAGAATAAGACGTGGACTTCCTGTGGGAATATGGTTTCAATAGACAATGTAACAGTGCACATGACAAGACCATTGATGGCCATGGTGAAACACATGATCTTCCAATTTGGCAATATTGTGTGCCCCTCCCCCCCTCCTGATTTATCGCTATTTTTTCTTACGACGTTATCTGAAAGCCAGGGTGTATGCAGGAAAACCATGCACAGTGGAAGAGCTAAAAGATGCAATTCATCCAGAAATCGCGGCTGTGCTGGTGCGAATGTTAGTGAATGCAATGGTTAACCTGGCACTATGGCTTCGAATACATGTCCAGAATGTCAGACAACATCTTCCAGATATTATCTTTGGTATATAATTCTTAGTGTTACTGTATTTAACTGCATTGATGTGTGTGTGTATGCATGTATGTTGTATCCTGCACATAAACTAAGTTATGTGTATTTCAAAATCATGTGTTTCTTCTGCCCCACCCTGCTGTAAAACACACACACACACACAAATGATACACTCATCTCTCTGTCTCTCTATATATAGTAACAAAAGTCGGTGTTTGTGTTTATGTATGTTTGTATCTATGTTTGTATGCATGTATTTTCCAAGATAGCCCCAACTTTCAGAGAGCACTGTAATTCCCTCCAAGAACAAATCTTGACCAAACTTGGCACACAGACTCCCCATGACTAGCATAACCTACTGGAGGGGTTTGTGCGAAGATGGACCATGGATGATGGGATTTGCAGGACTTCCATCTGCTTCAGCTCCGACTTCCACAGACTACTATGATCCCCACGAATGACAGACCTGGACCAAACTTGACACAGACCCCCTCATGACCCGCTTTACATCCTGGTGAGGTTTGGGGAAGGATGGACAATGGATAATAGGATTTGCAGTACCTTGACCCACATCCAGAGGCTGCTGCAAACCATCAGCTATGGATATGGACCAAACTTGGCACATAGACCACTCATGACACATTTTAGGTCCTGGTTAGGTTTGGAGGAGAATGGAATTTGCAGTACCTTCACCCATGTCCAGAGGCTACTGCAAATCCCATCATCCATGGAGATGGACCAAACTTGACACACAGACCCCCTCATGGCCTACTTTACATCCTGGTGAAGTTTGGGGGAGGCTGGAACATGGATGATGGGATTTACAGTACCATCAACCACATCCAGAGGCTATTGCAAACTCCATCATCCATGGATATTTATTTATTTATTTATTTACTTTATTTCTATACCGCTTTTCTCAGCCCGTAGGCGACTCAAAGCGGTTTACACAGTACAAATCACAAAACAATGTCAAAGGCAATTAAAACACATTATACATAACAGTCAATATCAACAAATAATCATTATCATAATGCCTCAGCACCAAATCAGAACCATTCTATAAAGCCCTAAACGGTTCGGGCCCAAGCTACCTATCCGAACGTATCTCTGCCTATGAACCCACCAGGACTCTAAGATCTTCTGGGGAGGCCCTGCTCTCGATCCTGCCTGCATCACAAGCACGGCTGCGGGGACGAGGGACAGGGCCTTCTCTGTGGTGGCCCCTCGGCTGTGGAGCGCCCTTCCCATGGACATTAGATCAGCTCCTACGTTAATGGTGTTTCGAAGAAAACTAAAAACCTGGCTGTTTGAACAGGCATTCGGATAAACAGTGCAATGAATACGATGAATATAGGAACGGAATTATAGACGACGAATTGGATCACGATTCTAGTTACGAGATGTTAACGTGTTGTTATTGATGTGTCATTACTTTGTATATTATGCTCTTAATGGTTTTTAAATTGTATATTGTTATGATTGTCTTTTTGCTCTTGTTGTGAACCGCGTTGAGTTGCCTACGGGCTGAGAAACTGCGGTATACAAGAAAAGTAAATAAATAAATAAATAAATTCTCATAATCCTTGTTCCAAGTTCCTATGTTCGATTGCACCATATTTCTATAATCAATTGCACTGATGTAGTCAAACGTTTGTTCAAAGAGCCAGGTCTTCACCTTCCTCCGGTACGTCAACAATGACGGGGCCTGTCTGATGTCTACAGGTAGGGCATTCCATAGCCGAGGGGCCACCACCGAGAAGGCCCTGTGTCTCGTCCCCGCCAGGCGCGCCTGTGATGCAGGCGGGATCGAGAGCAGGGCCTCCCCAGACGATCTTAATGTCCAAGTCGGTTCATAGGTGGAGATGCGTTCGGACCAAACTTGACACACAGACTGCCCACGACACAGTTTAGGTCCTGAAGTTTGCGGGGAGGATAGACCACAGATGATGGGATTTGCAGTATCTTCACCCACAAACCCCATCAGCCATGGATCTGCACAAATTTCTAATGGGTCCATTCCTTGGATTTTGGGAACTGTAGTTTACCACTGTAAACCCAACCAATAAGGGACCCTTCTACATTGCCAGATAAAATCCAGATGATCTGCTTTGAACTGGGTTATAAGCTTTGTTGTTCATTCGTTCAGTCGCCTCCGACTCTTCGTGACCTCATGGACCAGCCCACGCCAAAGCTCCCTGTTGACCGTCACCACCCCCAGCTCCTTCAAGGTCAGTCCAGTCACTTCAAGGATGCCATCCATCCATCTTGCCCTTGGTGGCCCCTCTTCCTTTTGCCTTCCACTTTCCTCAGCATCATTGTCTTCTCTAGGCTTTGCTGTCTCCTCATGATGCGGCCAAAGTACTTCAACTTTGTCTCTAGTATTATTATTATTATTATTATTATTAACTTTATTTGTACCCCGCTAGCATCTCCCGAGGGACTCGATGCGGCTTACATAGGCCGAAGCCTCAGAACACTTTGCTGTCTCCACATGATGTGGTCAAAGTACTTCAACTTTGTCTCTAGTATCCTTCCCTCCAGTGAGCAGTCGGGCTTTATTTCCTGGAGGATGGACTGGTTGGATCTTCTCGCAGTCCAAGGCACTCTCAGAACTTTCCTCCAGCACCACAGCTCAAAAGCGCCTCTCTTCCTTTGCTCAGCCTTCCCTAAGGTCCAGCTCTCACATCCGTAGGTGACTACAGGGAATACCATGGCTTTGACTAGGCGGATCTTTGTTGCCAGTCTGATGTCTCTACTCTTTACGATTTTATCGAGACTGGACATTGCTCTCCTCCCAAGAAGTAAGCGTCTTCTGATTTCCTGGCCACAGTCTGCATCTGCAGTAATCTTTGCGCCTAGAAATACAAAGTCTGTCACGGCCTCCACATTTTCTCCCTCTATTTCCAGTTGTCAATCATTCTTGTTGCCATAATCTTGGTTTTTTTGATGTTTAGCTGCAACCCAGCTTTTGCACTTTCTTCTTTCACCTTGATTAGAAGGCTCCTCAGCTCCTCCTCGCTTTCGGCCATCAAGTGGTGTCATCTGCATATCTGAGGTTGTTAATGTTTCTTCCAGCAATTTTCACCCCAGCTTTGCATTCATCAAGCCCCGCACATCGCATGATGTGTTCTGCATACAAGTTAAAAAGGTTGGGTGAAAGTATGCAGCCTTGCCGTACGCCTTTCCCAATCTTGAACCAGTCTGTTGTTCCGTGGTCAGTTCTGACTGTTGCTACTTGGTCCTTGTACAGATTCCTCAGGAGAGAGACAAGGTGGCTTGGGATGCCCATCTCACCAAGAACGTGCCACAATTTATTATGATCCACACAGTCAAAGGCTTTAGAATAGTCAATGAAGCAGAAATAGATGGGGACTTCAAGTACCTTCACTCATTTCCTGAAAACAATGCAACTGTCATCCAATGACCAATAAAGACCAAACTTGGCATACAGAACCGCCATTACCCACTTTTTCTAATAACCTGGGCAGCGCTGGATCATAGAATCAAAGAATCCAAGAGTTGGAATAGACCTCATGGGCCATCCAGTCTAACCCCATTCTGCCAAGAAGCAGGTATCCATTAAATCATAGAATCATAGAATCAGAGTTGGAAGAGACCTCATGGGCCATCCAGTCCAACCCCATTCTGCCAAGAAGCAGGAATATTGCATTCAAATCACCCCTGACAGATGGCCATCCAGCCTCTGTTTAAAAGCTTCCAAAAGAGGGTCCCCAAGCTAGTAGTCAATAAAACAGAAATAGATGGGAACTATGTTTTAAAAATTATTCCCTGGGTTCAGTGGCCTGTTCAAGGAGGAGACCTTGCTGTCAGAAAGCCACCTTTAACAAGTTGCTGCGGCCTTTAGTGACGGGAGGGGGAAATGCGCCTGCGCAGACTGCAGCACCAACTGAAAGGGGGAAGAAAAAGTGAGAAAACCGAATCTGCGCATGCGCGAGTCCGGGGAGTCACTGCGCACGCGCTAAGGCGAGAGGCGGACACGTCAGAACCAGGAAGGAAGAAAAAAAAAAGGGGGAAATGTTCCGCGCGTGCGTAGTGGGATTTCTTTCTCGCTGGGGGTGACGTCAGTGGGCGGGGAAATCTTAACAGACAGGGGGAGTGGGCGGGGCTTCTTCCTCTGCGGCAGCCGGCGAAAGAGGCCGAGAGGGGCCGCCGGGCGGAGGAGGAGGAGGAGGAAGAAGGGGTAAGCCAGGCCACGGCCTCGCGTGGGAATATGCCTGTACACGTGCCGGTTTGAGGAAGAGGGGCCCCTCTTGGGCCACTCTGAGGGCCCTCCTTTGTCTCCTGCTTGGCAGAAGAGGAAGGCCAGCAGGCTCCTCAGGACAAAGGGACCAATCGAGGGCAGGTCCGACTCTCAGCATGGTGTGACTAGGCCTCTGCAGTCTCAAGCCTACTCCCATCATCATCAACATTATTATCATTGTAACCCAGGCATGGGCCAATTTGGGCCCTCTGGAGGTTGAGCTGCTGGGAAAGAAAATGAAGGGGCCTGAGGCTGTTGGGAATGATGGGAGTTGGAGTCCAGAACACTTGGAGAGCTCGTTGTAACCCCATGCTAAAATGTATGGATGCTCAAGTCCCATTATATTATCATCATCATCATTTAGAGACCCATCCCAAATTCTGTACTCAAGTCTAGTCCTATTATTATTGTTGTTGTTGTTGTTTTTGTTGTTGTTAACCCCATATTAAAATCTGTAGATGCTCAAGTCCAATTATATTATTTTAATTGGCCTCATTATTATTGAGAGGTACATTATCACCACCATCATCATGGTCACCCCATACTAAAATCTATGGATACCCAAGACCCATTTTATTATTATTATTATTATTATTATTATTATTATTATTACTATCATTATTTAGAGACCCACCCAAAAATCTCTACACAAGTCTAGTCCTATTATTATTATTATTGACCCCATACTAAAATCTGTAGATGCTCAAGTCCAATTGTATTATTTTAATTGTCATCATTATTATTGAGAGGTACATTATCACCACCATCATCATGGTCACCCCATACTAAAATCTATGGATATCAAGTCCCATTATATTATTATTATTATTATTATTATTATTATTATTATCATCATCATCAACATCATTATTTAGAGACCCATCCCACTGTACTCAAGTCTAGTCCTATTATTATTATTATTAACCTCATACTAAATTCTGTAGATGTTCAAGTCCAATTATATTGTCATCAAGTCTAGTCCTATTATTATTATTATGTACCCAAGTCTAGTCCGATTATTATTATTAATATTATTAACTCCATACTAAAATCTGTAGATGCTCAAGTCCAATTATATTATTTTAATTGTCATCATTATTATTTAGAGGTCCATTATCACCAGCACCATCATCATCATGGTCACCCCATACTAAAATCTATGGATACTCAAGTCTCATTATATTATTATTATTATTATCATCATCATTATTTAAAGACCCATCCCAAAATCTGTACTCAAGTCTAGTCCTATTATTATTATTATTATTATTATTATTATTATTATTATTATTATTATTTGTCGTGTTAGAAGTGACTGCAAGTCGCTCCTGGTATGAGAGAATTGGCTGTCTGCAAGGACGTTGCCCAGGGGACGCATCGATGATTTGATGTTTTTATCATCCTTGTGGGAGGCTTCTCTCATGTCCCCGCATGAGGAGCTGGAGCTGATAGAGGGAGCTCATCCGCCTCTCCCCAGATTCAAACTTGCGACCTGTCGGTCTTCAGTCCTGCCGGTACAGGGGTTTAACCCACTGCGCCACCGGGGGTTCCATTATTATTATTGTTATTATTATTATTATAAACCCTATACTAAAATCTGTAGATGTTCAAGTCCAATTATATTATTTTAATTGTCATCCTTATTATTTAGAGGTCCATTATCACCACCACCATCATCATCATGGTCACCCCATACTAAAATCTATGGATACTCAAGACCCATTATATTATCATCATCATCATCATCATTATTTAGAGACCCACCCCAAAATCTGTACTCAAGTCTAATCCTATTATTATTATTATTATTATTATTATTATTATTATTATTATTATTATTATCCCCATACTAAAATCTGTAGATGCTTAAGTCCAATTATATTATTTTAATTGTCATCATTATTATTTAGAGATCCATTATCACCACCATCATCATGGTCACCCCATACTAAAATCTATGGATACTCAAGTTCCATTATATTATTGTTGTTCTTGTTATTATTTAATATTATCGTAATCCCATATTAAAATCTCTGGATGCTCAAGTCCCACTATATTATTATTATTATCATTATCGTAATCCCATATTAAATCTCTGGATGCTCAAGGCCCACTATATTATTATTATCATTATCGTAATCCCATATTAAATCTCTGGATGCTCAAGGCCCACTATATTATTATTATTATCATTATCATAATCCCATATTAAAATCTCTGGATGCTCAAGTCCCACTATTATTATTATTATCATTATCATTATCATAATCCCATATTAAAAACAACAACAAATTGAAGTCCTCCACAGAGCTGATAGTGACCATAATCCCATATTAAAATCTCTGGATGCTCAAGTCCCACTATATTATTATTATTATTATTATTATTATTATTATTATTATTATCATTATCGTAATCCCATATTAAAATCTCTGGATGCTCAAATCCCACTATATTATTATTATTATTATTATTATTATTATTATTATCATTATCATTATCGTAATCCTATATTAAAATCTCTAGATGCTCAAGTCCCACTATATTATTATTATTATTATTATTATTATTATTATTATTATCATTATCCCATATTAAAATCTATAGATACTCAAATCCCATTATAATATTATTATTTTTATCATGATTATTATTATCATTACTGTACTTACTTACTTAGGCGATCCCTTGTTGGACGAGTAGGATAGTCTTCCATGATCAGTATTCTTGTGGATCCCTAGGTGGCTGTGGAGCCCTATTCTTGAGCTGCATCTTCTCCCGCAGTGAGGGCATCAGTTTCCAGGTGGAAGGCAGTCTTGGTTGGGGTTGGCTTGACGTGCCTTCCTCTTGGCACGTTTCTCTTTTTCACCCTCCATTTATGCCTCTTCAAATTCTGCAGCACTGCTGGTCACAGCTGATCTCCAGCTGGAGCGCTCAAGGGCCAGGGCTTCCCAGTTCTCAGTGTCTTCTGCCAGAGATTTTAAGGTTGGCTTTGAGCCCATCTTTAAATCTCTTTTCTTGCCCACCAACATTCCGTTTTCCGTTCTTGAGTTTGGAGTACAGCAATTGCTTTGGGAGATGGTGGTTGGTTATCCGGACAACGTGGCTGGTCCAGCGGAGTTGATGGCGGAGGACCATCGCTTCAATGCTGGTGGTGTTTGCTTCTTCCAGCACGCTGACATTTGTCCGCTTGTCTACACAAGAGATTTGCAGGATTTTCCGGAGGCAGCGCTGATGGAATCGTTCCAGGAGTTGCATGTGACGTCTGTAGACAGTCCACGTCTCGCAGGCGTATAGCAGGGTTGGGAGGACAATAGCTTTATAGACAAGCACTTAGTATCCCTATGGATGTCCCAGTCCTCAAACACTCTCTGCTTCATTCGGAAAAATGCTGCACTTGCAAAGCTCAGGCGATGTTGTATTTCAGTGCCGATGTTGACTTTGGTAGAGAGGTGGCTGCCAAGGGAGCAGAAATGGTCAACATTTTCTCATGTTACACCATTAAGCTGTATCTCTGGCATTGGAGAGGGATTGGCTGGTGATTGCTGAAAGAGCATTTTGGTTTTCTTGATGTTCAATGACAGGGTGAGCTTCTTGTATGCTTCTGCGAAGGTGTTTAGAGTGGTTTGTAGATCTTCTTTTGAATGAGCATACTGTAACCCATGGTCCTTTGAAAATAATAATAGTAATATTATTATTAAACTAGCCATCCCCTGCCATGTGTTGCTGTGGCCCAGTCTGGTGATCTGGAAAATAAAGTAATGGTTTCTAATATATGAAATTCCTTTCTTCTTGTGGGTAAACAGTATTTCTTGCTGTTTCTATGTCAGTGTTGATGGGGAGATTGTCTGGTTTGCCTACTCTGGAACAAGCAACATATAATTGTCCTTTTTTATTTATTTATTTATTTATTTATTTATTTATTTATTTACGGCGCTTATATGCCGCCCTTCTCACCCCGAAGGGGACTCAGAGCGGCTTACAATATATATTTTCATACAATATATTATATTATTAGCAAAGTACAATATCAGTATATATTACTATATTGCACTATACCATTATATTGTAATATTATTAGTAATATTACATGTAATTAAATATATAATTATAATTATAATATTGAATTATTATTACTAGTATTATATTGTATTACATTATAATATTATATTATAATATTTTTTAGGGGTCCCTTTCAAATCGATAATATTATATCTGTGTGTGTGTGTGAATCACATATATCTATCTATATCTATGGCTGGATGGCTCTTCGTCAGGAGGGCTTTGGTTATGTTTTCTTGCCATGGTGAAGGGAGTTGGACTTCATGGTCTTAGGTATGGTGGTTCGGTGTGGGAAGTTTGCCCCAATTCTGTCATAGGTGGGGTTCAGCATGCTCTTTGATTGTAGGTGAACTATAAATCCCAGAAACTACAACTCCCAAATGTCAGGGTCTATTTCCCCGAAACTCCACCAGAATTCAAATTTGGGCAAATGTAGGATTTGTGCCAAGTTTGGTCCAGATCCATCATTGTCCAAACTGCTCTCTGGGTGTAGGTGAACTACAACTCCCAAACTTAAGGTCAATGCCCACCAAACCCTTCTGATATTGTCTATTGGTCATGCGAGTCCTGTGTCCCAATATTGGTTCAATTCCATCATTGGTGGAGTTCAGAATGCTCTTTGATTATAGGTGAACTATAAATCCCAGCAACTACAACTCCCAAATGACAAAATCATTTTTTGAGTGATGGTCACTCCTTGTGTTGTGAGATGTTTTGTTGCCAAATTTGGAGTGATTTCGTTCTTTGGTTCTTTTGTTTTTAAGGTACTTATGACACACAGAGCATTTTTATATATATAGATAAATCTAATAAAAATAATACTAATTACAGAGTAAAATAATAAATAACATTGACTCGATTATATGCCGAGGGGGGCT